TTTAAAAAAATAATATCCATAATTAAATCTTCCCTATGTTAATAATTAAATCTTCAGAATAATTACCATATATTCAATGAATATCTTTAGCATCAAAATATTTAGCTGTTTCATTACTAATTTTAAAAATCATATTTTGTCTTATCCAAACCATCATTTTTTTTGTAAAAAATTAACTTCTTTATCAAAATAAACTATTGCAAACATTTGATTACCAAATTTTAAAAATGCTTAGTATTTGAAAATACATGAGTAAATTTTACTTTATTAATATTGCAATTTGCCATTTTATACAAAGCTCTAAGCCTATTAAAAATTTACATGATGTTATGTGTAATTTTATTAAAAGATTTATTATTTAGGTAATTATAATTAATAAAAGTAGTACATAATTATTTTGTTTTTGAAATAAGTCTCAAAACGTTCATTGACTTTATGAACACAAACAATAAAATTATCTTAGAGATTTCTTATTCAATATTTTAAATATTTTATAACAGTATTCACTTTAGTATTTAAATTTATATGTTTAATCTCTTCATTTAATAGCCAAATAGATTTAATAAACCAATCCCTTACAAAATTATCAATATCTTCAATAAATATATGTTTAATATAAATATTATTAAAGTTAATGAATATTTATTCATAATTCTTCCAAGATTTTTTTTTAAATTATTATAATATTTTAATTACCAATAATTAAATGCTGGTTTTCATAATTAGTAAATTCAATCTAATCTTTACAGCTGCAAATATCATTGACCTGTTATCCTTTAGTATTATTATAGTTATAAATCTTACGTCCTATAATTTTATTACAAATATAAAAAAAAAAATTTGAATATTAATATAATTAATTGAATTTATTTTATGTGCTTATTAAAAATATTGTTAAAATTGATGCAATCTAAAAATAATATATTTGCTTTTCTAGAATAAGATTACTTAATTTTTCAACTTCTTCTTAATTATTATTACTTTGATTTTTTTGGTACATGATTATATAAAGTAAATGCTTAATAGGATAGTTTGTGAACTGAATTCAGGAATAATCACACATTACGCAGTTAGTAACCTGTAACGGAATAAACTCACTTTATAAATTTTATTTTCCATTTTCTAGTCTATGTATAATTTTTTTCTTTTTTTTTCCATTTTCTATTGATTTAATCTCTTATATTTCCATTTATCACATTTACTTTTTTTTTCTAAAATTATTGCTATCTAATAAATCCTTTCCTTCTGTAATCAATGTTTTATTTATATACTTTTTATAACTTTACTTTAGTTTGTATTTTTACACTAATTATTCTAATAACTTTTTATTTATGATATTTTTACATAATAGTTTCCTAATGATTATTATTTATTTGTGATTTTATTATTGCATGCGGTTTATTTTACTATATATTCATCATCGCAATTTAAAATGAAAATTATGATCCTATAACTCCTCTCTTTGTTTATGTTTTAGCAGAAGGAATTTAAAATATTGCATTTTAAATTGAATCATTAACAATGAAAACAAATTAGCGTTTTACAATAAAAATACAATTTACTATAAAATGAAATCACAATTACTATTCGAAATTAATCGCAATTTACTATTCCAAATCTGAATATCAAGTAAACTTTTGAATACAAGGAAAACACATGTTGAAAAAAAAATTGAATGTAACCAAAACCAGGATCTATTGAAAAGTGTTATTTCTCTTATTATAAAAAAAACAGTAGATCAATAAAAATTAGACCGAATATAATAAATTTATTTGCTAATAAAATATAAATCATTTGCAATATTTTGGTAACAAAAGCTGTCTTTCATAAATTTAATCTTTTTTTTGTCTCTGTTGTAACCATATCTTTACGCCAGGTGACTTTATTTTTTAGATTCTACAGAGAGTGATTATCTGATTCCTTATGCCGAGTATTTATAAATAACATACATTTTTTATAGTAGTAAATATCTCAAATAAATTTTAATTTTTGTAATTCTCTTGGAGAATGGTTGTACATTTACTATACTTTTCAAAACATTTTATTTTCTTAGAACCATTGACTCATATAATCATATTCCATGTAAGTATATAAATTTTTATTGTACAATTATTTCATCTACTTTTGTGAGAATTTCACGTTTCATACCACAGTTGAGAAGGAAAAATGTAATCAAATAAATACAAAAATAAGAAAACACCTAGAAAAACCCATTATGTAAATATAGTTTAACTATAAGTCTTCAATGGTCAGCTTATCTTACTTCTGTTGCGAAAATATCTCTTCTAAGAATTCAAATTTTATTTAAAACATTCAAATACATTAGAAAAGTGACGCAGACGAATTCGAATGCAAATGCATTCCCTTTGTACTTTTTTTCACTTTGTTACGTAAGAGAGTGTTTAAATTACTTTTTAAAATGGTTTTCCAAAAATATCCATTTACATTTTATTTTGTTTGAGTTTCAGCTTTTTTTCTGTCTGTATACCGTTTTCTTTGTACCAATGTATAGTGTTAACTCTGAAGAAAAACATTAAATCAAAATATAGTACTGAAATTTTTTTTTAACTTTCTGTTCCTTACATTTTCTGAAGAAAATTAAATACAGTTTTGCAGTAAGATTACAGCACGCTATCTCTTATAAACTTAAACAGAATAGTTAAAAAAAAGTGAAAAAAACAGTAACTGTGTTTATAATTTGATTTAATTCATTTTAAAATGCTGGTAAATGACAATATTCATTTAGATTTGAAAATTGTATAGATAAATAAGTTTTATTTAAATTTGGGAGAATTTATTTTATAGGTATATAAAGCTAAATTATGATTTTAAATTTAAATTATTATTTTACTTCTCAACATAAACAGCTTTAAATTAAAATCTCGAGCTGATAATTACTATAAGTATGAAGTTAACTTAAAATCGTCATACAATTTCTTGCATCTCACATTCAGAGTAAACGGATTTATATCAGAATTTCTATTAAAGAACTATAGGAGATTTTATAAATATTTAATCATTCAGAAGACACTTAGAATAATGTATTTTCTCCTTTCATTACAAATGGTAAACAAATATAATTAAAATACTTTTATCTAATGGTTTATTATAGTTTTATCTGATGGCTAACTATTGGTTTTATTGAATGCATTAATGGCCACACGGCTGTGTGTGCAATTACTCAATATACTGGTTATCTTGTACAAGCACTGCTAATTCTGAGAAAATTCCTGGAGACCATTTCTTCGAGTGTTCAACGTGTTCTCTAGCCCCTATTTTAATACGTTATTTCTATTAAGAGCTTCCCTTGAAAATGAACTATGATTTATGTAACCTCGTTTTACTATGTTAAGAATGAAATAAGATTTACAGATTGGAAGAAAGAATGATAGGTCATACAAGATAGATAAATTAGTGGATTAATCAGCACAGTGTACAGGTGTGAGCAACTGTAAAGGGAATTTTTAAACGTATATATTTAATTAGGTTCCTGTTAGTTGGAGTCGAGATGACTCGGATTCAATTAAAATTAAGAATATTTTTTTGAGTTTTGTAAAATAAAAAGTTTTCTATTAAAATATATAAAATTCGCGATAAAGAAAACGCTCCTCTTTTCTATTCTTCATTTTGTTTTACGTCTTTTAAGATTGAATAAACTGATTAAATATTTTAGAATTGTTTTTTTTTTTGAGGGATTATGTCTCTTAATATTAATAGCAATATCATCTTCTTACATGTACTTTTGAATTTTATGGAATCAGCGTAGTTCTCTTCCACTGTCTTAAATGCTCTTCTCTCATGTGAAATTTTTAATTAGGGGCAAGAAGAAAGGAATAGGGAAGCTGATATCAGTATTATGTTGTTTGTATTTATTTGGTTGTAGCAGATGTAATATTATTGATCTTATCTTCATGTCTTCAGCTATAGTACAGTGACTATTCCACCCTAATTATTCCAACTTAGCATGATATCTTCATCAATAATATAACTGAAATACTCTGGTAAAATCCTGAAAATTTCTAACTTTGAGCTGATTATTTCAGGATGGTAAATACGGCAGTACTAGTCAAATTTCTGCCTGAATGAAATTTGAAAAAAATTCAAATGCTTAAAAATAATCTATACCATCTTCAGCATCATTTAACTTACAATAGAAATTGATAATCATGTTCTTTATGAAATTTTGTAATAGCTATATACACCTCTCGGTCCAATCTGGATAGCTGTATTATTTGCTCTGAATATAATTTGAAAAACCATTACACTCACAATTATTATGTTAACTAAATCATATCGGAATATGCAAAATAATTAAGATATTTCCTATAAGATGATATACACCTCCAGTATTAGATTCTTATGAGAGGAATTTTTCATAATTGTTTAAGGTATATTCAGGAAAAATGACTACTACTGTTGAGTAAATATTCATATTGATCAGATAATTTTAAAGCTTAAAAGGGACTGTGGCACGGAAACTTACCTCGTTTCATGAAATGGAATCAGCTATTTTAAATATTTTTTTTTTCTATATGCAGAATCTATTCGCATTACAATTCCAAAGCCCCTGCTGACTGATATGAAATCTAAACATTGTCATAACTTCTGATTCGATAATGACTCGTCAAACGATACATGGAAGAAAATTATGCGGTTCGATGAATTGCCTTCTTCATGGTTCCTCACTACAGGAAGAGTACATCTAGAGAGCACTTTCACAAATATATGAATACTCGTATAATCTAAATTACATTCTCAAATCTGTAAAGCATTGATGCGTTCGCGTCATTATAAGTACAGAAATCTCGCAACTTTTTGCTGGCTTATTCGTAAATCTAGGATAAGATTTTTTAATTTTTTATGAAGTCGGTTAATAACGAGTGAGTTTTTTTTGCATAACACTTATTACGCGATATAATTTTTAAAACAGGGTTGGCTAACGTCTTGTAAATTAAGGGTGGAATTACAAATAAGGATATTGATCTCAGACATAAATGGTGGGCGTGGTGGCTTAGTGGTCATAGTCACGGACTCGCGGTGGACTTCGTCGTTCGTGGGTTCAAAATTTGATGCCACTCATGATCCGCTGATGCCACTCAAGATCCGCTGTGTTGATGCACGTTAAATCTGTCGAGGTCCAATGTCCTCCCGTAGTCGAGGTGTGGAAGTTAGGAAAGGAGATTGCTGGCTCAGGTATCGTCTTTGTCACTTGATTGAGGTTCAAAATTACGAGAAATTTTCCCAATTACAAGGAAGATTAAATTTCTTCATACAGGAGTGCTTAACAGGGAAAATGAATGTACAGTTCTACATGAAAAATGCAACGACTTAACACAGACACACAAAAATTGTTTCTCTTTCCATTACAGTAATTGCATGTACTTATCCGAAAATTTAAGAACTCTAATTTATATCTGCTTCTGTTCTCATCTACCATACTAATTTTACATTTTAAAATTTAAGCACAAACATGTTTACTAAAATAAAATAGTCAAGGTAATCATCAAAACGCTTCACTTAATGCTTTTTGTAGAAAATGTTCTCTTCCTTTTCACTGTCCTAAACGCAGTTACCAATTAATGCATACAAAAATATGAAATACCAAACTTACCGGATACTCGGAAACGAGATTAATATTTAATTCTTAATAGAAACAACTTCAATTTAGCAGTATCATTTCATAATTCTCGCAATTTTAATTTCTTTAGAAACAAGTAAATTTTGCATATATTTCAATTCCTTCTCACTTTTGCTATCTTTATAATGTCATATTCAATTATCTTTCCCATTCTCATATGAAAAACCTTACAACTAAATACTAAACATTTAATATTTATCTAATTTGCATTTTCAAGTTTCATTTGGTTGAAAATAAACTGGAAATCTAAATATAAAATCAGAAAATATACACAATTGCCAGTTAACGAAAGTTTCACAAATAGATTATGTTACAACCCTTTACGATAAATTTGAGATTAAAAATAGAAACGATATTTACAAAACAAAAAAAGAGGTAAAGAACTATGTTTGGCTGTATGCCTCACGGATAAGTAAGCAAAAGTACAAAATCGCCCTTGAGGTGTCCTGCCATATATTCAATGAAAAATTCACTTTGTATTCTCTCGTGATATTTATTTTATTTTGGTAAGTAACTGGTTTTGTACAGTGTTTACAAACTTTGATGATGGAATATTATTTTTTAGTGTCGAATTAATTATATCTAGCATTTAATGTCTTATTTTAAATATCAATTGATATAATTTTACCAACTTTTAAATATAATTGGAATGCATTATTCTACAAATATGAAAATGAATTCATATGTCAAATATATTAGGTAACATTCTGTAATTTCAATGAGTTTAGTTTAGTTTTTATTTACGTCGCACTAGAAGCAACACGAGGTCTATTATCGACGAACTCGTAATTTTGAACCATGGTCAAGTGACAAGGACGACACCTGAGCTGGCACCCTCTCTCTTAACTTCCCCACCACATCAACGGGAGGACTTTGAGCCCCGACATATTTAACGTGCATCAGCCCTGCCTACACGGTGGGTCTTTAGCGGTCAATGATCGAACCCGTGACTGAACGAAAACCGTTGGCCATGAATCCGAAGCCATGACCACTAGGCTACCACGGCCTGTAATTTCACTGAGGGATAACTTTAAAATACAATCATTGAAGGATATCATGTATATTTTATAATGTGTATTGATAGGGAAACTAACAGAATGAAAAATTACATAGTGTAAAAATAAAGAATGATAATTTTTTCTGAGGAAGGAATTGTAATTTAAAAAATTTGAAAAAATTATCCTCATTAAATAATACAGAAGTTCAAATTAAAATCAGACGATTATAAGTATGTATATAAGTTCAGAGAGTAATATTAAACTATATATTTTTAACTAGCAATATTTTTTTTTACTTACTAAAATAAGAAACTATGTACACAACACTAAAAATTGATAACAATTTCAGAAATATGATATTTTTCGTGCGTAATAAACACAACGGGTTTTTTAGAGAGAGTTCATTGATTGATTGATTATTTCACTCTAATAAGCATTTTATTTGCAGTTGTGTTAATAAATTCTAATTTGATCTCATAATTTTGAGCAAGTATTAAACAACGTGTGAAATACCAGAGCCGGCTCACCACTCTAGAAATTTCCAAGCGGAACAATATAAGGACTTTTTATCCCGCGGGGTTTAACATGTCTCTCTGCGAGACACTTATGAAGTGGAATTCGAACTAAAGCCCACAGCAAGAAAGACATGTTCTTGACCTAGAGCTGGTAACCATTAGTACGTAGCCGTATACCATTTGAGAGAAAAATCATTTAACAAAAATTTTAGCTAAGTGTATATGAATGAATTTCTATTGCAGGAACTCAAATGTTTAGGGCTGCAAAATGCATCATCATTTTTTTTTTATTAATGCTTTCATGAGAATAGAAGTAAACACATTATTAAAATACAAATTAATAAAATAATACTTTTAAAAATAATTCAGGTAACTTGTTAAATATTTGACAAATCGATATTATTTTCTTCTTAATCCTTACTTCAAAAAAGTAAATAGTACTATATTTTAGAATTTTTGCATCTGTAAAGTAAAAACAAAACATTTTTTCAACAATACGAATTTTAAATATTTACAAAAGAAGTAAAAACTTCAGGAATTTGTTATTTACTATCTTAAGTAGTGTATGTTATTCAGAGATTATGTGGTTAATTATATAAAAATCACAAGAAACGTGTATATACAAATATATTTTTATTTTACTTAACTTAGTTTTATCCAAAATGGTTCTGTAAGAAAGTGCGTTTTGGTAAACATATTAATATATTTGTTTATACGCAATACCTTAGTAGTTTTTATAGATCAAAAATTGGAAACTGAATTGAATGGTCTACTATGATTATGCATTTATCATTATACTTTCATAAAACGATTATAATTGTGTATACATTAAAAGTAATTAATGGACAATATCATGAATATACTGCTTAGGAATTAATAAATTATTTAGCTTATCCTTAAAATAGAGTTATTTTACAATACGTTACCTTTTTTATCTTTATGTACAGTGATAGAATTATATTTCATTTTGTCTACTTTAAGAAATGTATATTAACTGACCTTGAAGTAACAACAAAAAAATATCAATTGTTACTTTAAGTGTATAAGTACTTTCTTAAGTGGATATGTTCTTACAAAACATTTTACATGTTTTTTAATTCAAAAAAAAAATTATATTATGGCTTTTCATATCACGCTAAAGGTGCGCAGATCGTTCAATAAGTCCTTAGAAGATTCAAGAGACAGCTTTAGTAGCAGCGAAAATGGTTTGATTTTAGACTCGACTCACTAGACAGCTAAGTCTCAGTTATTCTTATCATATGGATTAATTGGATTTTGTAGATTGAAGTAAAAAATTTATGTTAATTAAGAAAAAGTTTTAAAAAATGGATTTTAAATGAGTGTTGAGTAAACACTTATATTTAAATGTCTTAACACCGGCAGAGATCAAAGCCAAGTTCAAGGAAGTTCTTGGCAAATCTGTTGTCTTGTTAGCAACTGCTTATAATTCGGTAAATGAGTTTAAATGAGACTGCACATCCCCAAAAGATGGATATGGTTCAGGACATCTAGGGGAAAAGGACTACTCCCGAAAGGATATTTTCTTTGCAGAAATATATACATGAATATATAATCAAATACTAATATATAATTTCTAATATTTTTTTATTTCAGTAAGTACGGATCAATTTAAATTATTCTTAAATTGAGTACAATATTTTCGTCGAAGATATCTCAGTTACCTTGCAATGAAAAAAAAATTTGGAATTACATTTATTACACTTGAATAATTCAGTGATTATAAATCACAAAGTAATATGAAATCAAAATTAATTACTTATTTACAATTAAATTGTATTTAATAAATGACTATCTTCTAAAATAAGCGTTATATATGTTTAAATTGTAATGAAGTGATATGTAAATATGTAAATCCATGGTGACAACTTTGAAAATAATTTTTTTTAAGGCAAAACAAAATATTCACAGAAATTTATAAAAATTTTGAAAGATGATACTCTTAAAGTAATTATAAATTGTTATAAATTGAGAATTTATTTTCATGTAAATCACCAATCTAAAAAGGAAAAAAAAAGAAAAAATTAAAAGGTTCTATGCAAAGTTTTGCAAATAACAGATTTAGTCTCACAAGGTGTGCTTTTTTTATAATTATTATTAAATTACTCAATTATGTATAAGAATTAATGTAAACGATGAAATATAAAGAAAAGGACAATAGTAAACTTTTCCGATAATAAAATTCAAGCAAATGATAAATTATTAAACTGAATATTATATCAGCAACGTGTAAGTAAAATTAAACACACTATAAATTATTAAATTCAAAAGTGACGTGGTACGCTAAAAGTGATCTATCTAAAACAATAGTCCCTTCGGTGACTAAAAAATTGGCTTCCTGATAGCTTCCTTAAAATTGTTATTTATTTTCAGTTATATCTTGATTCCCCCCAGTTTACATATGATTTAATATAATTCAAAATTTAATAAGTAAATAAAATACTTATTTTTTATATTTCTTTCATTTCTATCAATTAAAGAGATTAGGAGAAATTTATTACGATATATTTTTGAAAATTGAGTTCATCATTGGTGAAAGCATGTATCTATTCAATAAATTATAAAAATCAGGAGAAACTTATTATGATGCATTTTTGAAAATTAAATTTATTACTGGTGAAAGCAGAAATGAAAGACATACTAAAAAGAATATCAAATTTAGAAGAGTTGTCAGGAATAACATTTTTGGGTTACCTAAAAAATAGTCCCTTCGTTTGCTAACTAAACCATCGATTTAAAAGAAACAATTCTTGTACTCATACTAATCAGGAAAGAAGATGCTTTCTAATATGAACAAAAAGCAGGTTTCTTGCTTAATACTTAAAGGAATAAATCAACTAGAATTAATACCTGAATTATGAAATGTATAACAAGTGTCTTAAAAGAAAACCAGCTATTATCTTTCATTTTCACAAAT